AATAAGAGCTTATCGACGCATTGGGGTGTATTCTTGGTCTCGGGCAATGATGGAGCTGTTACATAAACAAGGGAGGAGGGGGGATACCGTTGATTGTGATCGCAAAAGACATGTGGAAAGAGCAGAGTTATGTAGAGGTATTAGGCATATGACAGGAGAGGAAAAGCAGAACAAGATCCACATGTCGTGTGTCTCAATAAGCTTGCGGCATGAGCGGGAAGAAGCAAACTGGAACTAAATTAAGGGCAAAGATCAAATGGCTAATCTGTTTCTGAGTCCAATAGTACCAGCATGAGGTGACATCATTGCTTTGGAGCCCTCCATGCTGCTGCTGTCTGGTTCCCCCTATCTCTCTTTTGCTTTGTGCTCTCTCTTTCCTCGTCTCTTCCTGGCTATACTGCCCTAATATGACTCCAATCTTCTCACAACGCGATTGCTGTTTCTGTTTTTACACAGTGTTTGTAATTAATTTGTGACTAAATAAATCTCACTAAAAACCTGGCCTTACAAGTAAGTAAGGTTTTTGTTTAGTGGTGAATAGGTTTTGGTGAGCACAGCCTTATGATGAACGCTTATAAGATTTCACCTATGATTTGATAAATCAATCTGATACAGGAAGTGAAAGCTGGTAATGATGGTGTCCAGAAGTACCGTGGTGTTTTTGGCAGTTTGCCTTTTACAAGGAACCATTTGCAAAACAGACAAGACATATAGACACAAAACAGACCTGAAGGTTGTTTAAAAATACTCCCTATTCTCTCTTTACCAAAACTCTGTTGTATTCTTTTATGAAATATAAATGATGATGTCTGTAAAACTAGACTGAAGTAAGATTAATACCTTTTCACAGTCAGTAATAAATACAAATACAAAGAATCAGTTTTCAGACTTGCATTACTACATACCCAGATTGAAATTATTTTTTCATGTTATCACAGCGCCATTGACACAGCTTAACATTTTTAAAATCTGTGAGGCTCCAAATTATGTGCCTACTGTGGATGTACCTTCACATTTCACAGCTGGCTTGCTTTAGAGAAATGCTGAGCCTCACAATAACACACCAGTGCTCTCTATCTGACTGGTTTTCCAATAAATCCTGGCTCTGCCTTGTTGTGCCATCTAGAGGTCTGTGTAGAGCCCAGTGAAGTCACTCATTTTCTGCATATCCATCACAAAAGGAATCCGTCATTACTTATTTTTATGGTACATAAAGACTTCTCATATATGGAAAGCCCTGAGGACAGTACAAAAAACAAACAATGTAGAATAAAGAAAACTGTGGATTTTTTTCTTGGCCTGTTGGCTCAATTGAAAGGACAAATAAAACAATAGCATCTATTTTGCATAGCAATTTTCATTTAAACTGATACATGAAAAATCTCTCATTAAGAAATATAAATATAACAATTCATAAATAAACATACAGAACTGTCATATGTTATCTATGTTTCCAAAAACCTCAAAGATTAATTTTAGTTTTCCATCACAGATACTATACTTTGTCCTATTGTCAAAAACTGCAAAGAAGCTTGAAAAGTTTTCTTACTGAACTTCTACGATAGTTTTCTTTACATTAATGCCCCTTTGGATAAGGCATATTGTAAGTAATTGAATCTAAATGTAAATAATTTGGCATTGAAATGGATCATTAAGTTAGTGTTAGTGTCTGTAATATTGAATGAAAGATCTGCTGCCATCCATGTGTTTATCTGTCCATCTGTCTCTCCATCCATCTTCTGTGCCCATGTAGGCCTATCAGGATCACCAAACTCTGGAGAATCATGTAATTGTCCAAAGTTTAATGAGAAAGAGGCATGGCACACCCTGTGCCAACCAGTCCATCACAAGGTAGCTATAATGTTATTATAAGAATGTCAACTAGCATGTGGTGTTCTCGGTCCGTCTCCAAGTTTTATACAGCATTTTTGAGAATGTTTGACAGAAGGCCAGAGAATAAAATGTCTGATTCTGATGCAACCCACAACAATGATGTCTGTGAATAACTGGGTGCGGAGCCTCCTAAAAAGGCAGGATTTTTAAATTAATTTCAACTAGAGATTATCTAAGAGTGGTATCTTTTCATTTGATAATGAAAGAGGAAACTCATATGAGCAAAACCGATGAGCATTACAGTTAAAGAAAATCATGTTCGGTGCAAAGAGTTTCTAAGACTTTAATTGCATCCATTCATGCAGGAAGCTGCAATGAATGTCAAATCTTCAGGCAAAATGTTGGCACATTGCGTAATGAGAGCCTTCTTTTTAACAATGACCTAGGTGGTGTGAGAAATAGTTCATACGCAGAAATCTTTTAATTTTAAGTCATGACTGGAGTAATGAGAGCTATTCCCACCTATTTATTCAGCAGAGTTACATTTTCAATGTAATCACATTATCTACAAACTCAAAAGGGGGAAAAAAAAATAAAAATAAAATACACATTTTAGTTGAATACTGACCTTACATTATGAGCTTTGAATGATTTCCCCACTAAACTCCTATACAGCAGGATAAAACTCCAACACCTTGTCTGAATAAGACCATAATCATGGGACTCTTGATATTTCATGAGAAAATGTGTTTATGACCATCATTATGTGAAGTACTGTTATGATCAAAGGAGTCAGTCTCCTCTGCTGTTCTATAGAAACATAGCTTTGGAGACACAGAGAGGGCAATATCCAAGCGGATGAACATCCTCAGTCTTTGCCATCTGTATGAGTGTGCACATGGCTGTATGTGTGTGCTCAGTGAGTGACTCATACTCAGCATGGTTGAGTGGAGTGTCTGACTATCTCATTTCGCTTACATGCCTCAGTCTGAAGCAAGGTTTTAATTCTTCAGTGGGTGCCAATTTAGCCACAGGTTCTTCAAACATGAGCACCAGCTGACTATCGTTTTCATATATTACGTTTTTTTTTTTTACGTCAATATTTTATAATATTAGTTTTTTGGTAATCTGACTGTGTTTTCTCCATTCTTCCTCTTCTATCTACCTAACTGTGTCCTCCTCAGCACCATGGGGAATGGAGCCTTTTCTCACTCTCCTGGAGTAATGAGAGTTCCCAACTCTGGAACTCCCTCCAGAAAACTGAAACATTGACTCTCTTCAGCTTTTAAAATCTCAAAAAAAACAAAACAAAAAAAAAACAACAACGAGCAACTTTGTACCTCATTTTTTAAAATAATATTACCTTATTTTAGGCTTGGACACCTAAAATAGGTGTATCCCTTCACATTGCCCTACACCGCCAAATACATTTTCTAGCTTAAGCTCTGCAGTTTGTGATTTTACCATGCGATTATCAAACATGGTTCAAAGTCATTCTGTTGAACAAATCTTTGACATTTAACCACCTTAAAAGTCTGGAGAGAAAGCCATGATTACACAGGCCTCAGTTCAAATCATCCAACTTGAAAAATATGAAAAAGTACAAGAAAAATAAGGACCCCTTACAAAATGTATTTATCCCCAAAATTTGAATTCCAGTGCCTTTTAATTTTATTTTATGTATAAAATAAGTCTGGCATTACAATCTTATTGAATGCCAGAAAACAATGTTTAGTTTTATTTCTACATAAAATGTAGAAAACATTTTTATTATGTATATTCCAGGCACATAGTGCTATTTTAAAGCACATTGGTAAGTGTTTCCTTCAGTTGTTAACTTAAAAGAAATTTGACTTTTCAATGTAATGCCTTGAAATTCTGCCTGTCTCTTTAAGAAGCCCCTGCTCTTTCAACACTCCTCCTTCAGTACGTCATTACAACATTCTTCTATCAAGCGTTTAACAGGTTTTTTTTTGTTTGTTTGTTGTTGTTTTTTGTTTTTTTTTTTACCAGAGTTTCACTGAGAAGTTGTCGTGGGATGAGCTCTACAAATGCGCAGTTCCACCACTGGTTTGCTAATTGCCGCTGCTTGTCTGAAGGAGCTGATTGGGGGATTTGTAGGGGAGTTTTCTGAAATGTGGAAGCTTAGCAAAGAGACTGCAGCTTGGGGGAGGAGCTTCGTCAAATAGGCACTGCTTGGTAAAATCACTAGTTTTCTGTATCCAGAATAGCTACCAAGAGAGATTAAAGGATTTCTAAAGCATACATAAAAGAATCAAGGCATCACTTCATGTGTGCTTTTGATGACGGGACACATCATAACACAATAAAAAGCTCAAAACAGTTGATTTTACATAATACTGCCACTTTAGATAATCCTTACCCTAGACCTAAGCAGCCATACTTTACTAACAGTTTCATTTTCAATTTACATAACGAGAAGTTATTAATTGTAAATAAATTAGAGAATTGCAAACAATACATTGCAACAGTGACATAAAAAGTTGAAAGCAACTACTCTAAAGTTGAACTTTGTCACAGTTACAACACCATTTACGACACGAGTGGTGACTGGCAAATAGAAAAGTGAGTCACCCTCGCCATCTGCCCCTTCATGCCTCACCTCTGCCAGCATGTGTGTGCCTAGCTGTCTGGGACCTCTCTTTGCTCACTGGTGCCCACGCTTCATCAGCATCACTTCCGGTTGTGATGGATGGCTTGTCTATATATCTCAATGTCTGAGGCCACTTTTTTTCCCCCACACCACCTAGTTTCTTGATTGAATCTGGCTTGTTCCTATGACTCATACCGGCCCTGATCACAACAATGACCATTCCCTTGACCTGCAAATACAATTGCCAGCACCACTCACAGTGTTTGGACAACCTCCTCTACGTCACACCATGTCCTCAAGCCAATGTTTTGTATGTGGTTTGTATACCAGGCCAATTCCTCCACCTTCTTTTTATAACACCAAGTTATAGAGTAACTTCATGCTTAGAAGAAGTTTTAAACTTAGGAGAAACATGAACAGAAGAATCATTATCTATACTTCAGGAATAATTGATTACAATTCAAGTCAAAAGTGGAATAAACATAACAAAAAAAAAAAAAAAAAAAAAAAAAACACAAGTCAACAAATTAGCTTTAAAATTAATCTTTTCTACCTGTGTAGATTTCTGCTTCTGAAGGATCCTCCACACGTTTATGCTGAATTACGTAGTCAGAAACTTTGCAGCCAATAAGTGGCTCCACATCCATCCATTCCAGGGCCACTGTTGTGCTTGAGGGCTCCAGGTTAGGGGATAGACGCAATCTACAATAATACAGGAAGCAAAACAGTCAGCACTTAAATTACAGTCACTCTGGCTGTTATGGTTGGTATTCTAATTTGAATGTTGGCTTATTATCTTTATTTGCAGTTTTTTCACTCGCTTTGGTGCATTTCTCAAAACAGAATTGAAATTTTCAAAAGCATTTGTTCTCCTTCATATCATTGTATCACTTGGAATATTGCGCTATAATTCCCACAGATCTGCATTGTCCTGTTTCCATTTCTATTTTTATCCTTTGTTCGCTGCAGTGCTGTCTTTCCTTTATGTATCATAATGACACAGTCTGTCAACAAATTACAGTAAAAGTGTAAATTTGAATATTGTCCAGTCTCCTGCCATTGATCTCCAACAATTACAATTTACAGTACTTGTCATCAAAACTTTAGCCATAGTTTACAACAGAACATTCCTTCAGAGTATGTTGTGATATTGACAATGTGACTAATCAATTTCATTGTCTTATCCATTTGCAATGGAACATGGGCTTGTCATTCTGAGGCACTGACACATTCTTTGAAAGATATTTAATTCTGAGCGATGAACTAAGGATTTTGAGAAAGAAATATGCTTTTGCAAGCAGACATATGCCATGTTTAGGTGTTTGTACAAACTGTTTTGAGAAATGCACTGTTTATGAACATCAAGAATGATTCAAGAGAAATACACCAAAATGACTGAGAAATATGTAAGTAGCTGGTTAGAAATGAGTAATTACATAGATCACACAAATAGTGCAATTTCAACAAATAAACTTTTAAATACCATGCACAATATTATTAAACACTTGTTTGATATTGCTCTGAAGTGCAGGGTATTCGCAACTAGATTTTTTATTGTCATTTTAGCATGCTGTTGTTAGCAAGAGATACTAATATAATTGTCCTATACGTTCATATGAACACAAATTCAGAAGTTAGCCCATTCTCTCATCTTTGGTTTTCAAATTTAATGTGGCTAGCATAATAATTTGAATATATTTCAAAGTTTGTCTTTGTTTTTGCCTTTGGTATTCTTTTAAAAACCACTAAATAGCATGCACATTGTGAAAATGTAAGCTAAAATTAAAGTGCTTGTTATTTATAATAGGCAAATAACATTGGATTATACAAAAAAAGGAAACAAACACAACCACACTCAAACGTGTCTATTCAAATTCTAATTTCAGTCATAAACTAGATGTGTGATCAATAGCTCTGTCCTCTATGGTTGATTTTTCAACCCACTACTTTTTTGTGGAAGTCCTCATGACAGACATTTCTTGAGAGAATGACACACAAAAGCCTTAGGAGTATTATTAGGGGACCTTGAATGAATGTGTTCTTTTAGGAGAGGGAGAGCGTGAAGTCAGCTAACAGTTATTAGAACTTCAGGGACCAGGCTTGCGTCTACAACACTCTTAGGAAAAAGTACAGGCAGGTGGGTCCATGCGTGTGTGTGTAAATGTCTGTGTGCATATACTAATTTATAACCAGTGCATGCATTAAGAAAACTTCTCTTTGCATAGTGAGGTATGAAAGCCTAGATGTCATGGTGTCACCTCACACTTACATTGGCTGCCTGAGGGGACTGCAGTTAGGCAGGCCGTCTTTGCTGAAGGCACTCAGGTCACAGCGACACCAGTTATCAATGACATCGCCCTTTCCAGCACACCAGTATGAGCTCATTGTGGCGCTCTTGAAGGCCTGCAAAGGGTAACAGGTGAGAGAAACGCAATTATCTCTTGGAACATGTGTTCTGTCTCCATCAAGCCCATCCCCACCCGAACCCTTTCAACCAATCCCATTGATACATATAGTTATTTTCCATGTGATGGCCTCCCATCATTTCTCTCCGTCTGTCTGACAGAAAGACAGACAAATAGATAGATAGGTCATTTTGAATATCCTCAGTAATTAAGCACGGCTCACTTAGAGGAATTTAAAGATAACATATTGTTCACACCTCCAATCAGTCACAAAAAGAAAGCCCTAGAGCTATACACTTCCCCCTACATGCAGACTGACCTTTTTATTTCCACCTTTCCCAATTACCAGATGGCAGGAAGATCTCACCAGCACCACCAAGCTTGCACTCCTATATCATTGATGCACTGTTACTTTTATGATGGAGATGTGAGAGCAGTGTCACTCCTCACCTCCCTCATTCTATGTGCTTCTGTGCGAGATCTGCTAGTGTTGCTGTCAGTCTGACTGAGGCGGGGATAGAGGGGGTTGGGTAGTGAGATATTAAGAGGTGACATCATCTCCTAACATCTCCTTGTGCTGCTTCATTAACAAACGAAAAGGGAAAAAAGTCAAAGGCAGAAGCTCAGTCATCCTCTAAAAGGCAGCAAAATGCCAATATAGCCGTCAAAGCAATAAAGTATAATGTCAGGGCTTTTCTTTAAGCCATGGGCATGATATAGAGTGACTTCCAGGGAGTTTGCAAGCACTTCTGCTCCCCCTAGTCACACTATGGATCAATAGAGCTCTCAGTTATTTATATGCTTTAACTGGTTGGTAATGCTGCCTCATGCATACTGCTTTTGAGATTCTTGATTATGGTCGCAAAAAAAGACACTGAACCATGCAGAAAGATAATAGTAGCATACCACGCACCCAACACAGAGGACCGAATAGCCTCTTCTTTTTTCAGACACCATGACGTTCAATAATCAAAAACCAAACGAAAAGATGAGATGCCATATTCCTCAAAGAAAATTGCACACAATATGCACACACATGCAACATAATACTGATTCTAAGTTAGCCATTTCATGTTTCATTTCACTGAAGATATGCCACCAAAGATTTTCTGCAATGTGCCAATTGTTGAAAGTGACATTTGAGGTGATTATCCTTTAAGTCCTCACATGACTTAACAGGCAGCCCAGAAAAAAAACTGAATCAGGGTTTAAATGCAGAAGCTGATGTTTTTACTACTACATACTTGTATTTGTGTGAATAGCTTAGAAGGACAAGGTGTCAGCAAAATAAGTCACCCTGCTGCCGATACTTTTGGTCATAATTTCAGACAAGCTTTTGTTCCACGAACACAGCAGTTCATATTTCTACATAGTCAAAGCAACAGCGATTGAAATACAACAACAAATATAGACACATTTACTCTACTATTCAGAAGGTTTTAAAAGTGAAATGCTTCAAAGCATTTCACTTTTAAAAGTGAAATGCTTTTAAAAGTGCATTTTGTGGGACAGCGCTAGATGTCCCACAAAATCCATATTCTCTCACGATACCCAAAGAACATGCTTTTTAATAAGCATATATGGCAAAGTAGAAAAAAAATTGCAACTTTGACATTTCCACAACGTTACATTGTTAGCTGTGGAAGAAGCTCAAGATTTTTTCATGGGAACCAATTTCTTCCAAAACGACTTGGTTTCACTCAAGCATTTTGAGAGCACTAGTGACCTAAATGAGCAGCAGAGGAAAAACTGAAGAAAAAAAGAGGGAGTGAGGCTGGAGAGCCCGTGAAAAATAGGACAGTCAAAAAAACAGCAAGATGCAGGAGGAAGAAAAGGTGCAAAAAAGGACTCTTAAGCCATTAAAGCAATTCCCTACTTTACAATGAGGGCAGAGGGGATCCCTCAGAGATCAACCTCTTCTCATTAAACACAATGTACTCCAACATAAGCCCCTCTAACTGATACTGCAGAATGATCAGTTACTGTAGAGTGCTAAGCAAAGACTGCAAACAATGAACATATAATGACCCCATGAAAAAAATAAGAAATTGTCAGGACATCTCAACCCCCTTGCACCCATGTGGTTACATGCTGCTGGAAAACACCAACAGCAGGAAACTTGCCACCCCATGTCAACAGGAGGTACACCACAGACAAAGGCATCACAAAAATCCCAGACCCTGGGTTCATGTATGCACAAAGAATAGATAAATATGAGAAATGACCCCACTACAAAGGACAAAAGAGAGAAAGACCACAGAACTGCCATGTGCTTACCACCCTCAGTTTCTTAGAAAAACCTCATATGGGTATGTGCGCTTGATTGCATGGCTGCACATGGGAAACACAGACAAAGCGATCACCACCGTGTTTATGTTTAAAGAGTAACGCAAGCCAGTCTTCACTGGGTAAACAGAGAATCTAATTGTGGTTAAGGAAATGAGGTGGGGAGATGTGTGGGGCCACATAGGAGGTAAAACAGAAATGAAGGTTTATGGACAGGGGAAGAAAAAAATTAGAGAAGCAGTTGCATATATGTGGAAAGTGATAATGTGTTAAATGTCTAATGGTGAAGATAAGTAACATGGATGGAAGAAGAAAATTCTTTAGGAATAAGAAGATGAAGGAATCTAGACAGTGTACTTCTATAGTCAGAGTACATTTGACAAGAGGTTGGTAATGTATGTTTCATTCACCAATCAATCACAATTCATAGATTCCACAGAAACTTAAAATGAATTCTGTGCTCACCAAACAAGAGCATGAAACAAATCTTCACTACTTGTGCTTCATATTAAAACAATAGGCACTTTGACAAGGAGAGATTCATCAAAGCCTTGACAGTAACCATGTTGGACAGTTCAAAGGCAAAGAGTAATTTCTTTTCAGGGACTGGTGACATCCCTGTTGTTCCATTGGCTACCCTGATCTTAGTAGTTCCCAACTATGCTGTGATTGGTATGCAGGGAACTTACTTGTGATCAACAATTTGATATTTAATGCAATAATTTTTTCCAGTGTACATAAAACATTACAAATAAACAGTGAGACCAATTACCATAAACAACGTCAGCCATGTGAAGTCAAAGTCTTGACGTCATTTAAACCATGCAGACTCAGTGGCTCCAAATCACAAAGTGAACCTTTCACTTTCATAAAAACCCTGTTGTGACTTACAAGAAGCCAAGTGAGGCCATTGTGACCTCCTTACTGTATTAATCTGTTTGTCTAGTCTGTGCTGACCAAATTACTGTCTGTATTCTGAGGCTAATACACAAAAACACTAGCCAGCTGGCCCACAGTATTGATTTATAAGATAATCACCAGTGGTGGAATAGAGTCTAAGTCAGAACACACAGCAGATCATCTGCGTGCGCATGTGTGTGTGTGTGCACCCACATCAGTGCCTTTATGGGACTTTTCCAATCATTCAAGGGTAATGGTGTTAACAAAGAAGCCAATGGGCTGCTTCTAGGAACCTTATCAGAGGTAGCACTTCCAGGAAATTGTGCACTAAGAGCAGCTGGTGGGTTGGTTCATCCAGAGGTTGATGGGGGATTGACATGTCACATGACAACTCCCAGTCGCCACATACGGTTAACCTTTCTGGAAAGGTAACTCGATGTAAAAACTTTCTGAACAAACGTGAGATGTCTTGCAAAGTAACTTGAGTTATCAAGACTACTGTGACAAAATAGTTCTAAAAAAGCCCAGTGACCAAAAAAAAAAAAAAAACCAATAATGCAATCCGATCCAATAAATCCTACCTTAGACAAAGGACTTGAGATCAAAATGACCGATAAGCTTATAATGTCAAATTTTCAATAAGTTTTCCTTAGCTAAATCAAGAAACGGGAAGGCTGTCCTTTGACAGCCATAAAACAAATTTGGTCAACTAATTCTTTGAACCATCTATTGTCAAAGCAGATAGATTATGACACATAAACCATTGCTGATAGTGCTTCACCTTTGCAAAAGGCAAAGGATCATCAGCTTAGTTTAGGTGTAGCAAAACAGTCAAATAATATGCTTCTGTTAATGTAACACTTTTTCAAGAACAAGAAGATGGTATATAGTGGGCATAAAGCAAATGACTAAATCTGATCAATGACCAGCAATATTACCTTCCATGGTAGTGTAGCTGCATTCTTGGATTCAAAAGGTAATGTGTGCATCAGACTGGAAGAAGTGCTGCTCTTGACCTATATGACTGTACGCTACCAGAATGAAAGTACCATCTGCACACCCCAAGTTATTTTCCTTTAGGCTCTGGTTATATTTCTGTGCCAAACTCCAGCTTGAGTGGATTTACATTATTACTTAGGTACAATCTTTCTAACATATGGAAACAAATCTGTAGGGGTTTTGCTTCAGTCAAAAATGCAATTTTAATGTAATACTGAACTAGTCATTATTTATTATTTAAACTCTGTGCTGAACAGAGCCTAAAGATGTGGACACAGTGATCTGTACGCCTTGTCCTGCCGTACATCTTCAAAGTATGGTGGGGATTAAGATTCGGTTTGGAAAAATATAGCTATATGGTGATATTACTGTTGAATGGATCAACAAGATGGGAGAACATCATGCACACTCAGATTCATCCAGACACATTAAAACTCTTGGAACAATATTTTGCCTTTCACAGCAACAATCCAACCACCCTTTCATAAGTTTTTCAAGTAAGTTTTTAGATCTCAGATCAGTTAAGCTGTGGTACAATTACTGAAAAAAAATTAAAGAAACCTTCAAAGAGGGTCAATAGGTTGCTTAATACACAGTCTCTGAAAAAGACAACATTTTTAAAAAGAATAAAAAGACATAATAGTTTTGCTTAACTTAGCCTAAGCCTGTTGATGCTTGCATATAATTTAATTATAAAGTGTTTCAAATATTCAGTTTGTAATATGTATTGTCTAAACACCATGTGCAATGCTGGGTCTGTTAAGATTTATTTTTTTTAATAAAATGACCTAGGTCACAATTGTATCAATAAAC